GGATAGAATACGGGGAAATACGAAATAATGTGCTGTGGTTTTCTGAAAACGGGTCGCGTGCGGTCCGTATACGGTTCCTATTTCAACCGCGCGCGAACGCTGAGCGTCCGTAACGGATTGTTCGCGAATCACCTGTGAGTAATCAAATGAAAAAAACATTTCCAGATGAAATGTTTTTAAAAAATTGGAGAATCCATAAAACTGAAAAAAGACGTTTTCTTATATGTTTATCAGGAAAATCTAGTTTTTTCTAACTATGGTCCGGTTACTAACGGTTGTCTTTCATTTTTTTGTCACAAATGTTTCCTTATTCGCTGAAAGACGCAAGTAACAGCCAATTCACAAATTTACAGCCGTCGGTTGAGCGCTTTTCGGAAACCCGCCTTATCTATATACTGAAAACTTTAACAAATAGGTTCTGTACATAAAAATTCCGTTATAAGAAGAAAGATTTATTTAGCTAACTAGAACATGACTCAAAAATATTCATTTTTTGTGATCCAAGTGAACCTTCTCATTTCGTTCTGCTTCATGGCATGATACTTCCTGTCCGGTCCTTGGCCTTTTCCATTTTCCCTCTCTTTCTCCGTTTTTGCATATATTTTCTTGTATCCCTTCAAAAAAGTTGTAGTTGTATATGAATCCAATTATTTTACATGCCTTCCTCTTCTCCCGCGCGAGCTATCGAATCAAAACACACCCACTTCTTTTTTCCATTGGGATTTTCCTTCTCCTGGAGACCTATAAATTACCACGTCATCAAAGAGTGACTTCGGAGGAGAAAGGGAAAATGGCTTCCTGTGTCTAGATTTAAAAAGGTTCACAGAGCAAAATACGTTTTTGAGGAGGAATTTTTAGCTATATGTAATAACAACAGAATTCGTTAAGTATAGAGCAGAAGACAGAATACGATTATTCAGGCAGTCTTCGGTCAATTGGCAGTATGGACGGCGGTTTTTCTTTTGATCAGTTGTATCTATCGGTACATCTTATCACCATCACAACAAGAGTAAGATACATTGAAAAGAGATACCTGATCTGATTGTGTGAAATTTTCAGTGTATTTGAACAACTGGTACGTTATTTTGATAACAAGTTAGATGCGAACATCCCTCTCACTTTCCTTCTTGGTTTCTTTGTTTCGTTCGTCGTGGCTAGATGGGGATCAATTCTGAATGGAATCGGGTGGATTGATGAGTGAGTTTTTATAAAAATCCAGTTCTAGAAGACCCATATTTAATCACAGCGCATCTCTACTCTTTGCGACATACATCCGTGGAGCAGATGAAGAGACACGTGTCATCCGTCGTAATCTCGTTCGGTATCTAGTACTCTCACAAGCTTTGGTCCTTCGTGATATTTCAATGCAAGTTAGAAAACGATTTCCAACAATGGATACGTTAGCAGCATCTGGATTGATGACTCATGAGGAAATGGATATTCTCGATCACATCAAAGATCCTTACAGTAGATATTGGACATCAATTCAATGGAGTTTAAATTTAGTTTATGAGTGTCAAAAGAAGGGAAAAGTCGAGAGTTATTATCTGATGAATAAAATAGTGGACGAAATTGGAAAGTTCCGGCACGGTCTAGCATCTCTCCTTAAATACGACTGGGTGCCAGTGCCATTAGTGTATCCACAGGTTTGATTTTTCTTCTTATTTCTTCTAATTTGACTTTCTCGTTTCCAGGTTATTTTCTTAGCAGTGCGAATCTATTTCATGATATGCCTTATTGGAAGACAATTCATTGTAACTGGATCTAATCCATCCGGGGCGAGTTTCATTTCTTTTTCTGTATTCATCCATGAGTTTTCAGATTGATCTCTGGCTTCCGATCACAACGATGGTTCAATTTCTTGTTTATATGGGATGGATGAAAGTGGCTGAAGCCCTTCTGAATCCATTAGGAGAAGATGATGATGATTTGGAATGTAACTATATAATCGACAAGAATCTCATCGTGAGTTCATTCACTGAAAGTACAGAACATTGATATTTAGTTCGGGTTTTGCATGACGACGCTTAGTAGAATGAATATTAATTGTAGCTGAACGGGTAGAAGTAGAAAATGATTGAATTTGTTAGCGTCGTGCTGATGATTCACTTTTTTGGTACCGTAAACCTTGTGATAGAAGGGACCCGACAAGTTTGAACTTAATTATAGTTTGAACTTAATTATCCCATCAGAGATATCAAAAATATGTCAATTGATAAAATTTTTGTAATATTATGGTAAACATTTTATCTGTTTATCACTTTTTGATATCTTCAACAGGGTTCAAAATTGACAGTGTGTTTTTAGATCTGAAGAAGAGAATTTTTGATCACTGTTTTTTTTTTCGATCATCAGCACTTCACTATTTTTTCTTAGTTGTCTGACACAAATTTTCCATCCAACAATTTCTTTTTTCCATTATCGTAACTTCATCGTATTTTCGTTTTCCCTTTGTTTTAGACCGGTTTGTCGATTGTGGACACCATGTGGAAGCACGATGATGTGAGTTTTGTGGCTGTGCATGAAGAGTTTTTCAAGCCTTTTTGTCAGTCGTTTAAATGTTTTCACGAGGATTACAGACGGGTTACTCTATGGTTGAGGAGCATATGGCGAAAACTCCTGCTCAGAAGAAAGATGAATTTTGGGGAATTGATAAGATTGCTCCATTGTATTCGATGGAATCAGCGGAAAGATCTGTGCATCCGTTGGTTGGAAGTGCAAGTAAAATTAAGTGAGTTTTATAAATTTCTGAATCTTTGCTGGTGTAATTGTGAATTATTACAGTCTGGTCAAAAATAAGAAAGAAATTGTGATGACACCTCATAAGAACAAACTGAGCGAGTTGGATCCTACTGAACAGGTAAGAAAATGCTTAAAAATGGGAATTGGGGTGTTGTAAAATTAAAATAGCATTTGTCTACTTTTCAAAATAGGGTTCCGAGTGTTTTAATTAGCCTTAAAATTTGAGAGGATACAAAACAAAATTAGTTTTCTGTTTTTGCTGAAAACAAATTTTTCATGATACTTGAGCGAAAAGTTTTTTAAACTACTGTAAACACTCTAATAGAGTATCATCCAAACTTTCAAATTTGATCCCATATATCTCGTTCCCTGCAAAAGATATAAAATAATTAAATTAGAGGGTTTGCAGTTGAAGCACCGGAGGCTCAGATGGTAGTTTGATAAATTGAATGAGTAAAAAATGTATAGGCCATTAAGATATTCAAAAACATTTTTTGACCATTTTCAGGAGTCTGGAGCTGTTAAGTTTCCTATCACTTTTAAGACTTTGGAGAGTGTGAAACAGATCTAGATTGAACACTCGTCAACTTTGAGATCAATTATCTCGGTTCCTGTAAAAGATATCAAAACTTTTTCAACTAATAAAATATTGGTAATATTATGCTGAAAAATGTATTAGTTGACAAAAGTTTGGTATTCATCACAGGAATCGAGACAATAGAGCTCAAATTTGAAGATTTTGGTTCACTTATTTTAGAGGAACTTATTTTAGAAAACTATATTTTGTCCAAATCTTCGTCACCAGAAATTGTTTTTTCAGAAAACGTATCTTCGTCGTGTGAATGTCTCCGATCACAACGCGAAACATGCGAAACAACGCGGACTGGAAAGAGCCAACTCCCCTGATAAATGTTTGAGTAAAATGAGATCTAGATCAAAGTGAGTTCCATTCTTTCTTCTTGATTCTAAATATAATAGAAACTGATCACTCGATTATTCAATATCTAACCAAATCGATCGATTTAGATCCGAATTACAATATATTCAATTCTATGAAAAGTAAGTGCAAGCATGCTTGTTGTTCGTTTTTCCTTACATTTTTTGTGATCTGCGAATTTTGAAGTTTTGTACTCATTAGGTATGTTAGAAGGTTTCTTCAAACCAAACAAAATATGATAAAAATTTATAAAAATTAAATTTTTTCAATTTTCAGCGGGAAGTTCAGAACATCTGCGAATGGATCACAAAACGGAGTTGATCTATGGACAAGAGCTGGTGAGTCGTAGGATCATTTCCCCCAGAGTAAATAATTGAGGACGTGGCAAACTTTTAGACTGTAAAAAAACCAAGATATCCTTTCATAATTTGCACGCTTCCATCTGATTTTTGCCGCGGCGTCCATCCTCTATGTCTTCTTAACATATGATTCTACCCACTTCTTTTGCAATCAAATCCCAGATTCCCTTGATGATTCTTCACACCATTCGTGCTCTCATTCAGGTTCCATTATCTGAAACATTACACTTCTGAATATTTCTAAGTATTTGTTCTTTATTGGTGAGTAGTGCGTTTCATCTCTATCCTCCTTCTCTCCTATCTGTGTGATATATTTCTTCTCCAAGTTGGCCGTAATCACTATTATGCTAGTACGAAAAATCGGAACAGTGGAAGAGAAACTCCGGAGGTCAGGACCGTAGGCCACAACGATAACTACAGTAACTTGAAATATATTTATTTTCTGTATTCATTTTCTCGATGCGTTTTCAGTCAATTTACTTTGGCGATTTTCTTTCGAAAAAAAAACGAAGAAATGAACATGGAACATAAACATTTTTAGGTTACGGTAGTTGTCGTTGTGGGACCTTCGGCCATGGCCTTTGGCTTTTCTCTTCCACAGCTCCGAATTTTCGGGGCCAGAATAATAGTTTCCCTTTGCTCTACTGCATCCACGTGGCTTCTCTCTTCCTCTTTTTCTAATCCTACCTACTTTCACCATGTTCTTCTATTCCTAAAAGCATGAACCGAGTGAAGTCATTCGAAGATTTCAGACAAACCATCGAACTATAACTTTTTCAGGAGACATCGAAATGAATGTCGCCATATCGAATCCCAATCAAGTTCATCCCCACTCGATAACAGTCTTCCCTCCTGATGAACCACAAACGACATCTAGACATTGAAAGATTCTAGTTGTTTGTTTCTCATTCGTCCCATTGAATCTGTATATTACAATGAGATCAATTTCTATATAATTCCGCTGATCCTGTGATAATTGTTTCAGTTGCTCCGGTTATTCATGCCTGTTTCCATTCAACCGGAAAGTCTAAACGTGTTTTCCAACTGTATTTCTTTTTCAATATTTTTATACAATGAAGTGTCTTGATCTTAAACTGCGCCCATATATGCAGTATATTGCCAAGGAGTTGGCTGAATTTATGAAGAACACAGGAAAGCCTGATAAATATTGCTATTCTGTAAAACCAATAATAACATTAAAAATCCTAGAAGAAGAAAAAAGAAACCGATGGGATGGAACAAGAAGGATAACAATAAAAACACTTTGGCATTTATCACTTTATCGTTTTGGGAAAGGATGGGGCGGGATGAAGAGCTTAGACGATTGTATAAGTTGGCTAGAAAATATGAGGACCCAAGGAATTTCGAAATGGGAGTGAAAAGAGAAAATCACAACGGTACTAGAAAAAGAAAAAGACACAAGTCGATTATTGTAGATTAACCCATATACGGCGGTTGTTTCGAGCAAAAAAAATAAGAGAAGGAAAAAAACGAATATTGCAACAAAATACGGGGAAAAGGAAAAGAAATGGGTGACTGAGGAGGGTGTGTGTGTGTGCGGGGGGAAATGAGAGAGAAATGGATATGTCACACGGATGAACTGACTGAATGGAACGGAAATAAAATACAATAAATTGACTAGTTGCCACTAATCTCTCTTTTTAGATGTTGCAAAAATTCAACGTATGAGTGTGTTGATTCTGATCGATCGTCAACCAGTCTCCTGACGAATACATCTCGAAGTGGGGAGTGTTCTCTGAAAAAATGTTCTTAGATTCACATATATTTTCTGAATAACTTACTTTATCGTTATTATTGGACCAAGGTAAAAACGGAATTGAGTAACTTGCTTGAAAAATGCATGTACTCTTCTTGACAGATCATTGTCTCGCTCGAGCAGAGAATACTGAAATAGAGCAGATTTTACAATTAACCTCATCGGTGTAAGCGCCTACGTCATCAATGTCATTGTAAATTGATGTTCCGAAGACGTTGACCAAGAAACCAGGATCTGCTGATGCAGCCACATAGACGAATGCAATAGTTCCGGTAACCATAAGATAAACTCCACCTCGACTTATATGCTCGAATGAAAGAGGTAGCATTGGAGGAGTTTGATCTTCAGGCATTGTTGCAAGTTCGTTCAGGCGATAGAGACGAGGATAAATGTCGGCCAGGATTTGATCAAGAGGACTTGCCCGCATCATCAGCATAGCACCGGCTCGATCGTCAAGGCGAATACCGCGTCCAGAGGTGAAGGCCGGCTGAAAAAATATCTTGAAATGCGATAGTTAACCTTGTTTCAACTTACATGCTTAAGCATAGCGAGCACGTAGCTCGGGAAGAGACGGAGGTGCCCAGAACGGGGTACAAGCATCCCACTACCTCTTGACACAGCTTTTTGGTACGCGCCGACACTATCAATGACTGCATTCACAAGGGCTTCCCGTGAATCAGCAAGAGCATTTCCTGTCATCGACCGTTCCACACCGATCTTTGCCAAATAGGAAACAGTGGCTTTCAAGTCAAAATTATTGTACAGTTGAAGCAAATCACCAGTCGTCGGTAGGCACATCGTGTGTACTCGGATACGACGATCTCCTTTACTGGATGTATAAAGAAGGGCTGATTGGAAGCATACGTATTGTGGCAGCTTCTCTTCAATGGTAACCTGTGCAGCAAGAGCAGAATCAGGGTTGACATTGGCCAATGCTAATAGATCAGGCGATCGAACAAAGAAGTTTCCATAAAACCCAGTAAGTGCCAGTCCGCGAGATGTGCGGATGCGTAAGACAGCTTCGAATCCAAGTTTTCTAGTCAAGTATCTTGTGAGTGTCCGTTCGAATCGTTTCACTTGATGAACATCATTTCGAGAATTGTAGTTAGGAAAATGGTAAACACATCCTGTTGAGAACTTGGCGACTTCCGCTGTAAATGAATAAATGGAACTAGAAGTAAGACTGGTAATAAACTTACAGAGTGTAGCCAAATCCGCATATTGCGTATTGAACATGAAAAGATCAAGGCAAATTTGAAACCCGGTACATTCAAGAGAAAGTGCTTTGTAGAAATCAGTGGCTGGTCCCAAATTTTGTCCTCCTTCTGTTGATTCCTCTCTGCTCTTTAATGCACCCAATCCAAGATTTGGCAAGCTGACTTGGAATATGGATATTCTTCCTCCAATTTCTTGGATCATCGACTGTGCAATCTTCAACGCCGATCCGAGGCAGTTTCCATTCGAAGTTGGTGATATTTGCGAGTAGAATTCTGGTAGTTGTTTGATGAATTGACGAATCGTATCCTTGAACTTTTTCATTGGTACTAACAACGAAGTGACTGAAGGAACGAAGGCGTCATCAATGTCGTCAACAATCATTTCATTTGGATAACGTTTGTTGCTGGAGAACGAGAAGAAATGCAGGCACTGATCGACTGCAATGAAGCATACTTGAGCTCGATCATCTCCTGGCATTTGATCCAAATTGATCAGTAGTTGTTCAGCAAATGTATTCAAATATCCAGATTGAATTGCTGCGGCACTGATATCAATCACGAATACATAAACAGCAGGTTGCGGTGGGCGGAGCTTAAATGTCTTACGGTAACAATATGTGTGAGCGAGAAATGTTTACCATGTATTCTGATGGAGCAATGAATTCGACAGTAGCATTTTGAATTTCAGGTCTGTTACGAGGATCTCCGAATGCTTTCGTTACTGGATCCCAACAGAAGTCATCCGGCACTGAAAACTTGATATAAATATAATTTGCACAATGTAAGGTACATACGATCATTGTTCCGATTACAAAGATTACACTTCCAATGTCGGTGATCAGGCAGGTACACATACGGGTTGATGTATGTGCGGCAATATCGGCAGCGGACAATATTCGAGCATTGAATAATGTTGAGATTCTTTACGTCTCGGAAAGGATGTAAAGTGATGGCAAAAGGTAGTCGACTCTTTTTTAGAAGTTCCTCAGTTTGAGGAACCTGAACAAGAGTAGAACGAAATATACTGAAAACGGACAAGGTTTTGAGTGTTGAGGGTGGAAAAATTTACTTTGGATCAACATGGGCATTCGGTTCTGCTACTGATTGTGGTATCTGGACTGTTATGTCCTCAAATCCGAGCTGTTGAATATTTCTTTCAGCTATCAAATCGATTATATCGTTCCGGAAACCACCCATTTGCTGTTGTTGTTGCCCGTGAGCACCACCCAGTTTCTAAAGAAAAGTTTTCGAGCTCCTGATGTTAGGAAGAGCAAAAAAGCTTACCATTTGATCAAATTGTTGATTCATGTTCTGCATTTGCGGCTGATTGTACTGTTGAGGATAACCTGTTTGTGGTGGAGCAGGTGGAAAACCAGGCTGTGAAGCAGTCGATGGATAGCCTGTCTGTTGCGGATACGAGGCCGGTGGCTGTGGCCTAGGGGCCATTTGCTGCTGATAAGGAGCTGGCGCTAGTGCCGGAGACGCACTAGCCGCAGGGAACGGAGCTGGTCGGGCATTCGCAAATGCTGAAGATACTGGAGGCTGAGTGATCGTCGGAACGACAGGTGGCTGAATGAAAAGAAGTGGGATTTTCAAACAAAAAAAAGAAATCTACCTGAGCAACAGGCGGTTGACCGTTGAGAACAGGTTGGGTAGCAGATGAAAATGATGGTATCTGTTGTGGAAATCCTGTGGGGGCACCGGCAAAAGCTGACGGAACTGGAGGCGCATAACTTTTTGATTGGTTAACTTGGAAATTATTGGGTCCATTCGGAACTTGGGATGATGCTAATGGTTTCACCTAAATATTTATTTTATATTAACTAAATTCGTAACTCAAAAGAGAAAATATTACCGGTTCATTTGAAGTTGTTGCTGTAGGAAACGGAAAGGGATTCACTGCGAAGCTTGGACCGCTGAAAAAGGATCTTATAGATTCAACGAGCACTCTTAATTATACTTACATGTTATTCGGAGCAGCAGCCGATGGCTGGGCAAACTGATTGAACTGTTGGACATGTTGATATTGCTGATTTCGACCGTACGCCTGCGGAAATCCAACGTTTCCCGGCGCCGTTGGTATATTCGACATCCGTCGATAATTAGTGTAACCCGCTGAAAGTATGTATCGTAGTTGAACGGAAATTCACTCATCGTGGATGGCTGATAACGAGGTGACGAGGCGTGAAACTCACGCACAAAATTACAAAAACGACGCTGACGCGAATTAACGGAGAGAATTTTCAACCAAAATTGAAAAATTGCAGAAATCTACCTTTTTGAAACTCTGACCATCAAAACAACGAGTCATCCGCCAGAACTGAACTATTTGCTGAAATATAAAAAAAAAATCTCGGATGGAAAAATGAGAAATAGAGC